CTTCTGCTTCCCTCACTGATGTCCTTTAAGTGCGTTTTAGATAGCTCAGTGTGCTTCATATAGAAAACATGTACAAGAGTCATGTCCTGACATTAGCAGCAGTTCTTCTACCCTCAAACGATGATTCATACTATTGTATCCTCCGCCATTGATGTTAACAAAGCTGATATTAGAACTCCCGATCCTTCTTGTTTTTCACTGGTTAATGAGCGAGAAATGACAATGTTGAGCGCCGCGCTGTTCCAAAAGTTGAACTATTTTCAACTGAGAGTGCTGTCAGCTGAAGCAGAGGGTGTTGTAGTGCTCAGGCTGCTGAGCGCTGAAAATGCTGAACTACATTGGTTTTGTATTAAAAAACAAAGCCCTTTACTACAAGACCCTATTAGAACAATGAGTCATTCAACTCAAATCATTAACATTATATTTTTGAGTGGATTCAGAAGTTACAACTGTAAGATCATTTGAATTGCTCTTACTAGGTTCTGTTTGTCAAATAAGATATTTGCCGCATTTATCTATCTAAGATGTCAGGCACTGGAAAGTATGAATTTCACAACATGGCAACTGTTCATGACAAGGTTTAGTACTAAGCAAGTATACTATGTAAAAACAATTAAATCAAATTGCTAACAATGGTTTAGTTTATTTTAGTGTCATTGCTCCCTCAACTTGTCAAAGCAACTGTTATGAACTTTGATATTGTATTTTGAATTAGAAGCCCCTGTAGTCAAAGAGGTCAATGCATCTTATCTATCTGCTTAAATTGTTCTTGTTCTGTTTAAGCATTTGTCCTCCTGACAGAGTTTCTTAGGTTCTAGCTTTCTTTAAAGTATGCAGCTACTCTTTCCTCTGAGGGAATCTGCCAATCCCACAACACGGTACCACAGGTGCTGCAGCCATCAAAGGAACATAGACTTGTATGTCCCCTCTTAAAATCGGTTGTATTGTGTGCTCATGATAATGGAACTAGATTTATTAAAAAAGCACCTTGCTTAAGTGCATGTTGAGTAATCTTGCCAACATGCCTAGCAGCATTTCATGAATATTTATAATCAGGGAACATATAGACTCTGCATGGGGTTTGTTTTCTGTGTGATGTAGCAGTGAAGGACTTTATTTCTAATATGACATCAGACAGACTCTCAGGGAAACATGGAAACATGGAGTTTCATTTTCCATCAAACAATCAAAAAGTAGCAGAATGACATGTTTCACTTTGTATGATGTGACTATTGCATATGAGGATATATGATGGCCATTTTCAAAGGATGTACTCTGCAGCTGTGGCTCTGCCTCTAATCGGGATATCGTTAGCTGACTCCATGTGACCTGCAGTTTACATGGGAAGGTTTTCTTGGGTAAGACTCTGAGTTTCAATTAGTCAAAGCATGGCTATACGTGTATGACTGAGTGTCATAAGATCCTAATATACAGAATTCAAGTCAAACATTATTGAACATAATTAGATCATTGTGCAGGGCTGTACCTACCCTTCTTTATGAGTTTAAGAATGTGTTCATGAGAGGAGAATCTGGCAGATGTAAAAAGTGCTTTGAGTGTTTATAAGACTATAGGAGAGTGCTATAAAGGTGCAGCTTCTTATGATCCGCTGTCTGACCAGGGCTCAGAAAATCAGCAGAGACACCTCCCACCCCCACCAAGGACTGTTTTCGCTGCTGGACTCTGGAAAGAGGTTCCGCAGCCTCCGAAGCAGAACTTCCAGGTTCTGTAACAGCTTCTTCCCACAGGCCATAAGACTTTTGAACAGGAAAAAATAATCCCTCCATTCCCCCTCAAACCCCCACACAGGACTACCTCACTGGACTGTAAAACACAATATAACGTGCAATATATTTATCTGTATAGTATTTTTACTCATAGTTTTTCTTTTTATATCTATTTATATCTGCACCTTATTTTTATTTTTTATATGTAAATACATGCTGCTGTTTTTATCCTGCACTACAACGGGCCAAATGCAACGAAATTTCGTTCTTATCTGCACTGTAAAGTACAAGTTTGAATGACAATAAAGAAAGTCTAAGTCTAAGTCATATAATTTACCATTATATTGAGTTACTTAAAATGCCTATGCACTATATAATGTCTATGACAATATAATTGTCTTTTTTTTAAAGAACAAAGAAATACACTAAAAGGCAAATCACATGTCATAAATATGTCATTAATGACAGCTATAACAAAAATCCAGTATTAAAAGTTAATCCCCAAATTTAATTTTAACTAAATAAATACAGCACTGTTTTTTAAATACAAATAAAATGAATTGAAATGCAAAACATCAAACATATACTGTATATTTGCACTGATTTCTCTTTCTTCTGAAACTGAACATTTTGGTGATGTGACTATCACATGCTCTCTATGAGGGGTGTGAAAAGTTCTCGTGATCATGGAGGTCAAGTGAAACTTTTTAAAATGAGGGTTTTGTTGTGTTACATGGACCCCCCTCAGACTTAAGAAAAAATAAAAGCTGTTTACAACACTTAAGCATGGTTGGCAAATCCAGACTCCAAAAATCTGTGCGAATAGTTTACAAAGCTGTGCACTCATTAAGTCTGAGCAATGGTCATTACGTCTGTGAGAGATGATATCAGCTTGTTCTCTCTCTCTCTCTCTCCCTCTCTCTCTCTCCCTCTCTCTCTCTCTCTCTCTCTCTCTCTCTCTCTCCCTCTCGCTCCCTCTCCCTCTCTCTCTCTCTCTCTCTCTCTCTCTCTCTCTCTCTCTCTCTCTCTCTCTCTCTCTCTCTCTCTCTCTCTCTCTCTCTCTCTCTCTCTCTCTCTCTCTCTTTCTCCCCTCTCTCTCTCTCCCTCTCTCTCCCCCCCCTCTCTCTCATGTTCAGTGTGCGCAGGCAGATGAAAGCATTTCTGTTCTTTAACTGTCCCAACCCCTCTTTAAAAAAAGGTATAATAATGTCATTGCATCGTGATGATTCGATTTGTATCTATCATTTAAAGGCAGTAGTGCAGGTACTGCTTCTGATATTGCTCTTACAAAGATCTTCTAGAGTTGTATTTTTATATATTTTTTAGAGTTATCTTTATTTATTTCATGGTTTCTATCAATGGGTCTTATCTACAATCTTCTACCAACCAAAATAATAAAGCTAAAGATAAAGATAAAGATAAACTTTATTGATCCCCGTGGGGGAAATTTGTGCATTACAGCAGCTCCAGAAAACAGGGGACGGGAATATACTTATAAAAAATAAAAACAGAAGTTAAAAACAGATCAAACATATTTACATTTAAATAAAAAAAATACAATAATGTAAAAAAAATACAATAATGTAAATGTAAAATTACACAGTAACTTGTTCTTAAAAAAACACACAGTGTGTAGCATGAGGTGGTGATGTTGTTAAATAGTCCGATTAAACAATCTGACTGCAGATGGGATGAACGACCTGCGGTAGTGCTCTGTCTTGCAGGGTGGGTGTCTCAGTCTGCTCCTGAAGGAGCTGCTCAGGGCCCCCACAGTGTCATGCAGGGGGTGAGAGGGGTTGTCCATGATGGATGTCAGCTTCACTAACATCCTCCTCTCACCCACCTCCTCTACAGAGTCCAGAGGACAGTCCAAGACAGAACTGGCCCTCCTGACCAGTCTGTTCAGTCTCTTCCTGTCTCTCTCTGTGCTCCCTCCTTCCCCGCAGACCACTGCATAGAAAAGTGCAGACGCCACCACAGTGTCATAAAAAGTCTGTAGCAGGTTCCTGCACACTCCAAAGGACCTCAGTCGCCTCAGCAGGTGTAGTCGACATTGGCCCTTCTTGTACAGGACGTCGGTGTTGTGTAACCAGTCCAGTTTATTGTTGAGGTGAACACCCAGGTATTTTTAAGTCTCCACCCTCTCGATGTCCAAGCCCTGGATGTTCACCGGTGCAGTAATAACATAACATGTAACTTAGCTTACACTATTCAAGAGGATCACATGAGACAATACATACACCAAGGCACAAAATGAAAAAAATAAAGACATGTACATTTATATCCCATTTATTCATCTTACACAAACCGCACATACCACATAAGTCCTTGTCCTGTGTTTGACCGTATTGCTGTCGGCTGGCAGGGGAAGGGGGGGACAACTTTAAAGTTTTAGATTAACTCAAAAGTAATGCTGTTTGGCCTGACAACAAAACTTTTGATGCATAATAATTCTTCTTCAGGTGCAAAATATAAGAAAAACAGGCTGGTTTGACTTCAGCCAACTTTGGATGGTAGTAAGGTTTTGATGACAGCAAACACATTTCAGTCATACAGTTTAGATTAATGTATTTAGATGATAAACATAAGAGAGATTACTTAATGTTTTGTCAGTAGTTTACCCTGTGACGAGGTTGTTATGTGCTCAGTGCTGTGTGTGTGTGTGTGTGCGTGCGTGCGTGCGTGCGCGTGTGTGCGCGCGCGTGCGCGCCACACTGAAAATCTGTGTGTGTGTGTTGATGTTCAGTCCATTGCTGTTGTAATAATAGTTAATAATTATCTGTCATTTACAGTCTCTATTGAGGAAATGGGGATTGCATTTGAAAATTATTGTGACATATTTTTTTTACAAAGACCGAAGCATCTATTAACAGCAATGACTTTCTGCTCAGTTCTAGGCGAAGATTTAATTAACTGTCCCTAGTCAGGGTAGATAACTAGTCAATACACATAAACCCCCCCCCCATTCCCTCACACACACACACACACACACACACACACTGTCCCTCTTTGTCCCTCTCTGTCCCCCCCATGTCTGTCTCTCTCGCTCTCTGAGTCAATATGTGTGCCACCCTCACGCTATGCCGTGGTTAGAATGAACTACCAATAAGTTGGTGTTGTAGTTAATGAACTATGTAGTTCAGTCTGCCACCAGAGAAAAGATACTGAGAATGATTTTCATTATAATTGCTTCATCCTTTTGGTAAGGCACTGCTCAACCTCTCTTGTGTTTACTCAAAGTAGTCATTATGTTTTCTTTTCTTTTTTTTGCAGGATCAGTGTTTGATCTACACAATAAAAAAGGTAAAAAGACAAGTCTTACACTTACTTCCTAGTCAAATCCACACATACAGTACATGATCCTGCAGTTCATGTTTACACTTTGTATCCGTCATAAGACACAAACACATACACAAATATATACAGCAATAGTTACTAAATAAAAGAATGCATCTATAGCTTTTAAATAATATCTTGACTAAAATACCATTTGTGCACTGTGGGTGCTTAGCTAAATATTTTATTGAAGTGTGTCTAGCATTGCTTTATATTTGATATTGTGTTGATTGAAAGTATCAGATGATTTGTTATAGAACAGCAGCATGCTGTCTCTAGTCAGACACTGTGTTTATTGTGTTGTTTAAGATGACAGTTATAGCTGTTTTGGGTTTCACCAGGATTTGATCATTATGGCTATTGTGGGCTCCTTTTGGGCTATTTCAGGCAGATTGAATCTGTAAAGGTTTATGTCTGTGGTCTTCCCTCTGTAGATCCCAGAGTATTTTAGTACTGAATAATCCTCACCATCTGCTGTCTCCTCTACTATGTTTCAGTCCTCAGTATCTCTCCTACTATCTGTCATTCATGTGTACTCCTTCATGCATATCCTCTTCTGCTTTTCTTTATATTTTTTAGGAACCAGTTTTATTTATGAAACCCCTATACCTGAGAAACCAAACACATGATAAATAGTTTATATTCATTCATTCTTTGTACTCTTTTGATCTTAACATTGCTATTTTCAGATCTGTATATTTTAAGTTAAATGTGAAAACAATAAAATATTAACAGAACAGCAATACTTATTATTAGGAAATTATCAATGACATAAGAAATGTGAAAACAATATGTTGCTTGATCAGAATATTTAAATCTCTTCACTTCCATATGATAAGCACTAAGCTGCCCAGGCAAAGCATTTGCTTTTCAGTTCTCTGTCAAATGGTACATGACTAATGCAAAAAAACTTAAAAATGCAGGACTGTATTTGCCCTTACTCTGAACTCTTCTTTTAGACTATTAGATTATCCAAGTGAGACTGTGTTCTCAAATAAATGCAACTGAGACCATGACAAGAACACATGACTCAGCGAAGAGACAGAGTACAAGTGTAATTATCTTGGATACACTTAGATCTGCTGTTTGTCCTCGAGTGACACCACATTAACAACCAAAATACAGACATGTCAGCACCATGTATGACAGCCATCAACACATGTACTAACAGCCGGATTAACAATGAATGAATGGATTAGTGTATGTGTTTCTTCAGTTCCCTGCTCTATATTACATTGTTTTATTTCCAACACACTCAGCGCTTCTTGTGCATAGATTTATTGATTTAAAAAAAAAAAATCTGCTTTTTTTTCTAGTTATTACTTTTTTCAAATTCATATTTCTTATTGTATTCCTATTATTCTGCTGTTTTGTTCAAGAGAAACTGTAACCATCACATTTCTCCAAAAGGGATGAATACAGTTTTTCTGATTCTGTGTGTAAAAGTGAGAATAAGACAGAATGATTAAAAAAAACAAAAACATTGGTAACTCATGTTGCAAGTGTGTAAAAACTGGATACCTCCAACAGAAACTGCAAATAACCTGAAATGATTGATTGTGGCTTGACTGCTAATCACATCACGAAACGATGTGTTCCACATGTAAATGACGGCCCTCACACACACACACACACACACACACACACACACACACACACACACACACACACACACACACACACACACACACACACACACACACACACACACACACACACACAGCACTGAGCACATAACAACCTCGTCATCTGACCAAAATCCATTAGCAGTAGAAGTCACAACCTCATCCATCCTTTATTCTCCCTCGTTTTCCTCTTGTTTTTCTTCCTCCTCTTTCTTTCCCGGACATCAGGTCTGGGACAGATCCTCCATCTGGCACAGCAGAAACAGAAACAGCCAAAGTGTGATGCTGTTACGTCTAGTTTTCCTTGAGGGCACTTATTGTGCAGCTAACAAGCTACACCCTCGTTAACAAACTTGTTACCCTTACCCCATCACTACTCTGAATGTAAACCTTCTTACCATCCTCTGAGCATACACAGTTATATAAAGCTAACTTGTTTTTGTGTGTTTGTGTGTGTGTCTGTACATTGTTTTATTAATGTGTTGTGCTGTGAGTATATCAGTCATTAATTTAAGACATGCAGTTTTACACTACTTTAAAATGCTTATCGTAATACTTTAAAGATAGATCCTAGTTATTTACTTAATAGTTCACAGATAATGTGTGGATCTCAAGTTCGGTTTCTACTGTCTCTTACCAAATGTTGATACATATCACACCCATGCATGACACACACACACACACACACACACACACACACACACACACACACCTCGATGAATCACTACTAATACTATACACATTGACCTTTTTGACCCAATAGTTAGATAGATAAATACTTTATAAGGAGTGTCCCAAAACTCACAAGTTAGACAACAATAGAACAAAGAGAGAAAACAAAACATCAACATTAATTTAAAACTACATGGATATTAACAGTTATTTATTTAGCTTATTGACGGACCAAGTGTGGAGGAGAGAGACGCAACAGAGCTTTATAAGGACAGAAAACAGATGGAGAGAAAATATGTTGAGTTTGGAGAGCTGAGGTTGAAAGAGTCCAATGATTGTTGGTGAGAGAGGAAGACAAGGAGTAAATCTAAGGGGCGAGGGATGGAAGGGAAGGAACAGCTGTCTTTAGAAGTCAAACCAGAGACATCTTTACACAACCAAGAGGAGTCTACAGAAACAAACTGAAGAGACAGAGAGATGGAGAATATCAAACTTTGTTTATTATTGATAAAAATATGTTTCTTAAAGAGATATGTTTTTGATCTGTGGTTGCATGATGAGTAATAAGTCATCTAAAGTCCTGAAAGCGCTGTTTCTTTTACTCCTTGCTTATTTAATCTGAACACCAGAAGTTTGGCTACTGTGTTTTCTAAGGTCGTTTACAGAGTCCCATGACACCCACTTAAAACACATCATTATTTCAAAGATCCAAGATGACTGGGGGAAATGAGACAGTTTTCATATTTATTAGAATGCACAAGAGTGCTTCACCACAGCAGTGATCTATCTATTGTTTAGGTACACAGATGATCATACATAACTTTAATGAATTTAACACTGTGTGTGCAAAAGACCTGTGACCTCTTTATCATCTCCTGAATGGGTAATGTTTTCATTTGTAGCATAATTAAGTGTTTTAGGCCACAGCACCTCCATGTGACTGAGCAGAGGCTGCTGCTGTTTGTTTACTCAATTTGAACTTCAACTGCAAACAGTCAGTCATGCAGTTACACTATCTTAGATTGTTGTGATTCTTGGACATTGCATGTGTTCTCTTCCCACATGAGCATCAGTCTGGCCTTCTAGGCTTGATCAGATGCAGTGAATGTGTCAAGACTCTCATACTCGATATTGTCGCAAATTGTTAAAATCAATCAATCACTTTTTGAATAACAACTGTTATCTCAATTCACTTTACAAAAGAGCATATGGGATAATATGCAGGCAGGATTTCTCCTTTGTATTCCTTGCGTCCGTGCATGAATGAGGATGGCGATTGTTTAGGGGACAACACAGTCAGATGGTGGTGGCTGGGCGTCGGGTGAAACCACAATTAAGATATTACCTTAAACGATATAATGCACACTCCTAGTAGCTATTGCCAAATTTGATTTGGGGATGGCCTGGGCCATTATTTAAAATGCAAACTCTTTGCTGAAGGAGAAACAAATAGAAAAGCAACAGAAGCTTTTATATGTCACAATAACGTCACAGTGTTAGCTGGAGGCCCAACGAAGCTAAACTAGAAGGGAGCAACACCACAGGGTAGGAGGCAACAAAGGAGTCTTAACATGCTGTCTTGTTGTGTTGTTGGGTGCCAGATTACAAAGAGTAAGAAACTGAAATTCTACCGACCACCCTGCCCGTCAACAACATCAACATCAACAACAACATCTTGCTGACCTCTTAATATAGCTAACTTAACAAGTGTGGCTAATATTTGGTTTTCTACTTCAGTGCATGTAATCCATGAAAGTCACACTGATATCACTTATGTAGTTTGGTTGATAACCCCTTTCAAATATATGCTGTAGGTCCACTGCATACATGATATAGCTGTTAGCTTTATTGACAATGACCCAAGCCTTGTACATGGCTGTTCTTTGTCCTGCCAACAGTTTCGGTCTGTATGACAAAAACCTCATTGGTTAAATCATGTGAGTCCTGTACACAACATAATTATAGACATCTACTAGTAAAGTAGTAAATACAAACTCAGGACCTACATACCCTCAGTTTATATCTGCTATATACACGAGGCTTTTCTATCAGGAAGTTGTAGCTAGCATTGGCTAGCACGTTGTTTGGATAATTCAAGGATAGTTATGTGTGTGTCGATTATGTTTCCAGTTACTTTTTTAGAAGATAGCGCTTTTGGGCATCATCACAAACATTAGTCTTTCACTTTCAGAGTGATTTAATGTTTAAGAATCATTATCAAAGGCCGACATTTGAACTTTGCAGTGAGGTCTTTTTTATGTTACACATCAGCGTGCATGTCATATCAGAACTCATCTGCAAGAAGAAGTCATTACTCAGCATGGCAGATATCTTGTTTCTAATTTTTTTTTTCAGGTGAAGGCCACTGGATATATTTTATTTACAGGTTTTGTAAATTATTTATGGGAAGGTTTTTCTACATGGAGCAGGCTATCTAACTGTCTACCACCTATGTATGGTTGAGTTATTCTTATGATCCTGCTCTGTCCCTAATGTATTAGTGCATGCCTCAAGGCTTTAACAGAACTACTCATCAAAGATTTTCTCCACTGAGGAGGTTTTTTTTTTGACGCAAAAGGTGTTGCTTTTGATGGAACTTTCATGGAGGGGTGACATTCCCCCTCACAATCCTCTTGAAAGTGTTCGATCTGCATGGATGGATTTGCAATA